GGCATTCGTGCTAGTGGTCGCCACCCTAGCTATTTTCCGAGCTAGGGGATGGATGTGACCCTCTCAAGCCCTGATCACCAGAGACCAGCTCGATATCGGTGCCGTCAGTTGATTCTCGGCTGACATATGGATGCACCTCGATATCATCGAGATCCCCGTCCGACTCGGTCGTTGAACACCCTGGATCGTCACCCTTCGCCGAATCGTCCGTGAGACTTCGCTCGGGCGCCTTGGAAACCGAAGAGGCATCCGAGCCCCGTTTCCCAAGCACATGTAGTTGATTAGGCGACTTGGGGGTGCCCAGGGATGGGGACCTTACCATGTCGTTGAGGTCCACCGACCCACTTGGTGAAGCGATCAATTTTGGCGGCCTGATACGCCCACCGGTGGTCCTGCGCACGCCGGTGAAGCGGGGCGGTGGCGGGCTGATCCCAGACGGAGAACCGTGGTTGTGATTGCCGGAGGCCATCGACGAGGCTGAGCGGCGAATGCCTCCTTTCGCGGGGGCCTTATTCTTCGGGGTCTTATGACTTGCCACACGGGATGCTTCCTCGTCGCGGGTGTATACAGTGATAGGCTCGGATATGAAGTCGTCTGTCTTAGGAGGATGATCGAAGTCCACCCCCTTCAGTTCCTTAAACAAAGCCCTTCCCCATATGCCCAGCCCGTTCGATGTGATACGGATCGACTTCTCTGGATCGTCAGGGTCCTTGATCCTCATCGACTCTGCATTGGCGCCGTACTTCTCGCATATGTATGTTGAGAGATCGGCAATCTTTTGGACCCGACCCTTAGCATCCAAGTCGGCCTTCGGCTGAATGAAAGACAAGGGTGCAAGTTCAGAGACCAGCCAGTGTGCCCACAAGGCAGAGCGATCACTTACATTCTTGGCCAGACGTGAATGTAATCGTTCCATGGCTATTTGCTCGGGCTTGGACCCATATTGGGCTACAAGGTTATCTGTTTGCTTCTTTGCCTAGTAGTGCAGACTCAGCAGCCCATTAGTCTCATCCGCACTACAACAAAGCATATAGGAATACATACCGATTCAGCGGCTTTGACCGTTTTTCGAGGATCATCCATCAGGAGCTTGATAATGATTTTCTTCGCCAAATTATCCTTGTGGCAGGCGACATTGACAAATACCTTCCACTCTTCATCACAAGTCACATAATAGTGGCTTATGTGGCCATACGTACGATGCGAGTTGAGGACGCACTGCCACTTGAGCAGGCCGGAGTCCGCGAGGGTCTCGAAATGTTTCCGAAGTAACTTTCCGGGGCCCTCGAGGCCAAAGGGGTCATGTGGACCCTCGAGGATTGAGAGGATCCTTGCCTGCAAACTGGGCCAGTCCCACCGCGTGATGTCCGTTTTGAAGACCGTTTCGGCCGTCGGAGCCAATCGGTCCCACTCTTTGACCGAAGGAGTCGCTTTGCTGGACCCGACCGCTTGATTCTGCGCCGATCGGATGAAGACAATGTAATCGATCAGGATTGGGCGCGCTTCCACCGCGCCGCCTGAACCCAGGTTTGGTGCAACCGAATGGGCGCGAGTGGGGTTCCTCGCCAAAGCCTGGCCCGTAACTTGAGGTTGAGCCGGCGCCATGTGGCCAACGTTACCTGCAGGCATCGACATCAGGTGGCCGGTCGGGTCAGAGGTGAGGGCCGCCTGAGCCCCCGCGGTCAAAATCGGCGTCACACGAGGATTCGGCATTGCGGTGAGTTGGCCGAGCGAGCTTGAGGTAAACGCCATTGGTCCTTGAAGACGAGGATCTTGACCTGGAAAAGCCAGCTGATGACCCACCGCGACGTGACCGATAGAGCCCTGGTGATTGGCCGCGTGCAAGCCCGGTGGCGCTGGATTGGTGCTTGTTTGAAGGGCAGCCAAGGGGATCCCTTGCATGACGTTTGAATACGAATGGATGTAACCCGCATTGTCTTGAGAGGGCTCAAAAAAAACCCGACATGACGCCCCGTCGCTTTGAGCCATTTGACTTGGTGCAATGTACGACTCCTCGTACTCGTACTCGCCCATTCCGATGTTTTCAGTTGACGGTTGCATAGCCTGAGGTGTTTGAATGGCAATCACTTTGTCAGAACGTGGTGGGTTAGGCAACGGAGGGAATAACATGGCCGCAGACTCACAAAGATTAAGCAGTTTTGTTTCGACGGGCGGTTCTTGAGGGTGTCAAAGATAAGTTTGATAGGATTGAAATCAATTCCGAAATTGGATGGATGATGTCGGTGCCGATCGGGGGTTGTGGTTGGCTGGAGGTTAGCTGGGGGAGGCATTTCAGGGGTGACGTGGACCGGAGAGGAGAGAGGGGAAGGATGTGGAAGAAAAGGAAGATTTGGAAGTCATACAGCCGATATCGTCGGCTGTATTGACCACTAAAAAAAAAAAAAAAAAAAAAAGAAAAAAAAAAAAAAAAAAAAAACAGGCTCGCCAACCGCAAGCTTTATCGAAATGGCTGTAATTCAGAGGTGCAGTGTCTGATCGGAGCTGAAAAATTGTTGCCGCCAGTCCCTTCTCTTGGTTGTCCAGGGCTTGCAGCAGCTTAGTGCAATCTTTGGAATAGGTAAACCGACGCGTCTCCTCTTCTGATAGAACTTCGGGGATCCTGAGTTGGCTTTGTCTGGTTTGCTTGAGTTTAGCAAGACTGATTGATAGGTCTTGTGATCGAACGGTGCAGTCGTCTGGGAGGGGTTCTCCTAGTGCAGCCGCCTTGGCTAGGGTATCGGCTTTTTCATTGGCCTCGATCCCCTCATGAGCTGGGCACCAATATAAACGGATTGTTCGACCTAGGAGCCTCATGCGAAAGAAATTTTCAGCGTAAATTTGTTGTCCTGAGGACAAAGATATAGGGTCTGCAGAACGCATCAGAGCACCCTGGTTATCGCTGAATATAGCTACGTCAGTGTAATCACAAGAAAGGTCAGCCTTTAGTATCTCTCGTGCCATGCTTATGGCTAGCCCTATCCCGATCAGTTCCGTCTCAAAATTAGAGATTGAGTCTGCCGGATTGAGTCGTGCAACAGTGCTTGCTCCCGAGGGATGGGCCACTGCTGCTGCTCCAGCCCCTTTGCCAGGGATCCATGACCCGTCGGTGAAGATGATTAGCGCCTGGTTTTGAACTTCTCGCTGTAGTTGTTGTGGGATGAGTTGAAGCACCTCCACTCTTTTGTCAGTCAAGTTGTGTATGTCGGAGATCGGGTTGGTCCATGGGGGAGCTGGGACCGGGTAAATGGTTTCCATTGAGTCTGTTGGGAAACTGTAGCGGTCA